ACTATCAGGCCCTTTTAACTGCCAGAGCCATGGAAATCTCTACCTTGTAATTTCAGGCCATTACCAATATACTGCAACCCCATTTGGTATGTGCAACTCACTGGCCACATTCAAAAAAAAAAAAAAAAAAAAAATTAAGAAAAACATTTACAATCATTATTTCAATTGCTGTTTACCAGAAGCTTCAGCACATCACAGTTCAGGTGGTCTACCAAACTGCAATGTCATCACCTCACTTCAGAGTTCAGGCATTGTACTTCCCACCTCTAGATTCAAGTCTGGCTAACTGAACTTACTGCAAAACTTACAAAAATATGCCTAAAATGCATCACCTTAAGCTGGTAATAGTTTTCCACTCTGGCTACCAGACGGTATATACTACAGGGTTCAACGAAGTTTTACCTCTACCTCAGTGAGATTGCAATGCACACTTGAGATATTCAAAAATTTTTTTGGTAGTCATAGTGAAAGTCAAACTCATACAGTTTAGAAACTGAACCATGAATCACTGATTCATGCCCTTTGTACCTAAAGGGTTAACTATTTGTGGTCCACATGGTAACTAACTATCAGACCAAGTTAATGGATTTCCAATGATTGTCTGATTATACATCATTTTACTTGATTGAACAAAATAACGTTGGAGGTTGAATAAGTGACTATTACATAGTCAATGACTTATTGTATTACTCCTACAATTCAAACTAAATCTGAGGAGTATTCTTCCCTTCTTAATTTCTTTTTTTTTTCCTAGAGTGCACTGAAGTAAATCAACAGCTTAGTAGAATGCCTGATTCGAGAGTAATAATTAAATACAGCCTCTCTTCACTTAACGACGGAGTTCTGTTCCTGAGACCACATCGTTAAACGAATTCATCGCTAAGCAAGGAGCATACTATAATGGAAGTGAGTTGGAGTCAACCATCTTTGATAATGTTTTAATGTCACCTTTGCACCATTTATAACACTTCTAGTATATTTTTAAATATTTATACAGTAGTGTATTGTAAATTGAAATAAAGAGAATAGAGGAAATCAGTTCTAATACTATACATTATTTAGGTACGAATACTGGTCAAAGAGCCCGTCGTAAGTCCAAGGCGTCAGTAAATAAGTATGTCACTAAGTGAGGAGAGGCTGTATACATTGTACACTACACATCTGAGTTTTAAACTTTTAATATGTTGTGGTTTACATCTAAAATTGAATCCTGAAGTACAGTATATCCATACTGCAGGAAATATGTATGTTTAAATTTCAAATGTCTTGGTAATTCATAAACAGTGCTAAAAAAATTCTTTATCACATTCCTTAAAACTTAAATTAAAAACATCAGACAAATTTTGGTAGAGAATATCAATTCATTAAAATCTGATAAACAACAATCACATTTTTAATTATGTATCAATATACTAACCTTAAGTATTGTCATTAACCCTTTCACTGGCCATCACACAACCACGACACTGAGGCCAGAGTTTGTCACATAGTTCTACGTCATGAGCTCAGCTCATTCAGATAAGTTGAGAGTGGTAAATGTTGGCCTAGATATAAAAGAAGGAATCTGTGCAGTGAGTGGGCACCACAGGTTAGTACATAAAAAAAAATTCTGCCTCTCACAGTTCATGATGGGAAAAACAAAACAGACTGTGTGTATGGCTTAAAATATTGAATTTGTGGCATTTTCTCAGATGGTTTTGATGATTTTAGTGACTGTTTCTTGGTATTATTTTATATATTGGAAAACATATTACTGCAATGAAGATGATTTTGAATGGTTTCAGGACTGGAAATAGCTTGAAACTCAGCTCAAACGCCCAAACGTAGATCTACATTCTTAAGTTAACGCTCTAAATGTAGATCAATGTTTTATTTTCCCTGCCTTCAAATTTGGCAGGGAAATTCTATTACATCTAGGCCTATCAGGCCTAGATGTAAGAGAATGGGTCTGCACACTCACTGTGCACAGTATGAAAAAAATTTTGGACCCTGCAGTACCAGTTAGTTTCAGCACCAGCTTGGGTCAACGTCATAGCAAACCCCCATGATTCACTCACACCTCATCATATTAACACTCCCTTATTTGAGGAAACTGATATAGAATCCGAGTTTAGTGAATTTGAGACCAAGGAATTAGTGAAAATATTGATAGCCCAGATGATCCTCAGCCCATTACCTCTGGTGTGGCCACACCAGACCCTTAGCCAAGCACTTCTGGGGTGGCCAGCTTTACTACTCAGAGGCAACTTTGCAAGTGGAAATTATCGTTTTCTTGTAGTTTTGGTGATAGTGAAAATGATATAAGTGACGACGAGATTAATTGTATGCCCATAGAGGATTCATCGAGTGACAGTGATATACATTATTCTCCAGTGAAGCATACCTTTAGGCATCATCGCCTATGTTCAGGCAGTGGGCCATATGTGATCCCCAAGGGTCATAGGAGGTCACGATCAAAAACTCTGGCCACTGATAGTGATACTGATCATGAAGGGGAATATGTAGGGATGGAGGAGGTGGTGGTGGATGGCATTATGCCTGGGCCACATGGCGCAGTGGGCAGGCAGACAAAGGAGCACCCGACACCCCCTCAACCATGTGCTACCTCCACTCCTGTCCCTCAACATCCTCCTCCCCCATGCACCATTCCACAGATCCACCCTGCACCATCAGACCATGAATGGAACTGGACACAAAATACAATATTTGTGCCACATCTTTGCAGTTTTTATGCCAGTGGAAGTGGCATTTTGCCAGAATGTCCCATCAAAAAAGAATCTACAGTTAGACTATATCCAACTATACTTTGACAAGCCCATAATGAACTTGATTGTCACCCAGATAAACAATTACTACCGCTACAAAATGGACAACACAGAGGTTGCAGAATCGTCATGACTGCAGAGATGGAAAGATACAACTGTGGCCAGAGGCGTCGCTCGAGTTGGTGTCACCTGGGGTGGAATCTCTGGTGTTACCCAGGGCAGCATCTTTGGTGTCACCCCCATGAAATTCAAGGATGGGGGGGGGGGGGGGTTAAACTGTAGTTATGTCACTACTGCATGACCAGTGATAAATGTTTACCAATGAGAATGTTTAAGGGCCATAAACTGAACAGGAGAATACTTCTCAACTGTATAAACCCTTTCAGGGTCGGCAGGGCCTCTCCTATACTTGTTCTCGGGGTCGGAAATTTAAAAAAAAAAAAAAAAAAAAAAAATCGTCTTATGAAATTATAGAGAATCTTTTCCCAATCATAATGACACCAAAAGTATGAAATTTGATGAAAAACTTATGGTGTTATGCTCTCACAAAGTTAGCGGTCTGGACGATGTTTACGCATTGGTGGTTTCGCCCACTTTGAGCCCTATTTTCTGCTAATTCCTATATACCAGTCGACAAAAATCATACCTATTTTGCTAGAACTCCATATTTTCTATCGAATGAGTACAAATTTACCAATTTCCACTGTCCAATAATGTGATCAGAAATTGGCAATTTTGCCAATTTCACACAAATTTCAAAAGATGCCAATTTCCAAATAGGGTCCAGAATAAACAAGACAGACATTTCTGGCACTAAAATAACATTTCCTCTGTTCATTACTCATGTCCCCAGGCCTCTGTTACATTTCTTTTGCTTTCCACTTTGAATTTTTATTCTCAAAAAAAAAAAAATAGAAGATTTATGTTATGCAGACTACTGCATTCGCATAGAAATGGCGTAGAAATGGTATAAATAATATCAGGGCACTTGTGAAAGAATATTACACTCACCAGTTGATGTGTATTGGACGCGTGGCATGATTTGTTTACCTTTGAACTCTGGTAAAAATTGAACATTTCTGCTACTTTGGCGAAACGTTTCCTCAATACAGATACCCAAGAGTTGCACATGTGTCTAATTTATCAACATGTCGGTTCTCTGAACCATTCATCTACAAAGAAAAAATGGAGTTCTAGCGAAAGAGTTATGATTTTTGTCGACTGGTACATTGAAATTGGCCGAAAATAGGGCTCAAAAAGGCGAAATCGCCAATGCGTAAACATCGTCGAGACCACTAACTTCGCGAGAGCATAATTTCGTAAGTTTTCCATCAAATTTCATACTTTTGGTGTCATTATGATTGGGAAAAGATTCTCTATCATTTCATGATTTTTTTTTTTTTTTTTTTGAAAAATTTCCTGCTGACCCTGAAAGAGTTAAGGGTTTAGCAAGTCTGATGCAATTATTGGGATGCTGTAAACTATGAACAACCTTTCCTGTTATATATTAGTATTTGAAAAATAAAGTAAATCTTCAATTTTTTAGTAAATAAGAATTCAAAATGGTCCGGGGACGTAATTAATGAACAGAATGTTGTTTAGTGCCAGGAAAGTCTACGTTGTTTATTATGGACAATTTTTAAACTGGCATTTTTTAAATTTGGTGTGAAATTCTGATCACTTTATAGGGTAGCTGAAATAGTTGAATGGGTGGTTTTTTGTGCCCAGTCAACAGACTGGTAGGCATACTAGTGAAATTACTTAAGAATTTGATCAACTGGAACAATGGAACCAGAATAAAGTAGGACTCAAATTGGGCAAAACTGATTGTGCATCAACTGTACTGAGACAGCTAACTTTGTGCCAACATAATTCCATAAGTTTTCCATCAAATTTTGTACTGACAGATTCTCTGTCATTTCAGATTTTGTGTGTGTGTGTGTGTGGGGGGGGGGGGAATTTGTACACTAAGAGCAAGTTTCATTTTGGGAGTCTGGACAGTGAAATGGTTAATTATGGGGATCATGTACATAGTTGATCCCTCTGTGAATAACTAGTATTTATGCAAATTTCTGTAGGTATCTAATTTGCTGTCAGCCACCATTTTATACCTTAGTTCAACTGCTTGAGTGTCCCACCACCTTGTCACACCGAAGAAAAAATTGTAGGGCCAGGAGGGTCCACACAGTGCATCATGAATAGCAGTGATTCAGCAGGACATGTAAACAAGGTGTGTGACATGCCATTCTGCATCACTGTAATTAGGGTTGTCTTTATTTAGGTTTGTGTACATAGCATAGATATATTTTTACAATGGTCTTAAAGAACACAAATACCATGACACATAAAAACTACATTAAGTGTATGTATATTTTTAAGCCAGGATAACCAAAGAAAGCCAAACAATGTGACTTACTTCCATGTGTTGAAATGTAACACACCCAGAGTCAATGGTAAGATTGTATGATTTCCTTGTACATAATATAATAAAGCAAAAGCAATCAAAGGAAATAAAAAAGTGTACCAATTACACTGAATATTCCATGCTGTACTATGTTGGACTAAATATTTTTCCATGTTAGGATTACTAATACACCTTGATACAAAGCTAGTACAGGTCTGTCATCACAAATCCGGCAATCAGTTATTCGGTTCCTTCAGTTATTCGGCACTAATTTTGGCTAGCATAATTTCAAATTTCCAGGGTCGCTACACCAACCTGCTGGTACTGTTTGGTGGTGCTACTTGCAGCATAAGTCATTCCAATTTCTTTTTCTCCATTTATTGTTTTAACCTGCTTACTTTTAGCCCTAGCCATGGTTCCAATGAATAAAAGAAATGCTTCTCATTATGTAAAGCACCTACACAGTACATTATCTATTAAAGATAAGGTGGCTTTGAAGCCACTGTTGGTTGTCATGAACTCAGTCTCATGAAGCAGGAGAATATGCTTTATTATTGTGTTAATATCAACACTACAGCTTATTTGCCTATCACAATTGATCTAATGACATAATAAACAATATAAATAACATAAAACATGTTAAATACTCCAGAATGAATAATATTTGGCATAACACCGAGCAGTTCGACAGAGTTACGAAGAGGATATGGTAAACAAATACCATTCTCCTATCCTTGTCTTGGGGGCTTATATTAGAGAAAACGGAGTATAGCACAGGGCTAACTATGATATACACTCGTACTCCACCATAAACATGAAACAAAAAAGTTATTTTCTCTCTATAGATTATCACACACAGCAGCATATGTGTAGAGAACCTAGGATAACCCCAAAAAAGTCAACGTGGCTTATTTTTAGTACCTGGCTTGGGTTAGCCATATATGATTTTTGGTAAATATTCGATTCCCAGCCAGGGTAGAAACATTAGGCGTGTTTCTTTACACCTGTTGTCTATGTTTACCCATCAGTAAATGGGTACCTGGGTGATAGTCGACTAGTGTGGGTGTTATCCTGGGACACTGACCTAATTTTCTTGAAATACTCAGCATAACAAGTGCCTTTCTATACAGTAGTATGTCACTGATGTCAGCTAGGCCTGTATACCTTGTACATGTGCGTGTAGTAAATAAAGATATTATTATTATTATTATTATTATTATTTTCTCAGTTGTTTGTTGGGTTATCTTATTCAAACTTGGGCAATGTATGATGGAAAGATACTTCTTCACGTACACCAAAAATGAAAGAAATCAGACCATAAATAGCGGAGTTCACTTCTCAGCCATCAGCGGCCGCTTAGCGGTACATTTTTGTATGGTTGTTATGGTTATACATGTATTCTCATTTTTTCAGTCTCATTTGATAGAATGAAAGATATATTACAGAAATAGATATGATTTTGATTGCTTTCATGACAAAAAGTACCTTGAAATTGCGCTCACAGTAGTGAAAATGTTCTATTCTTTAGCCAGTCCAAATTCCAGTACGGAATCAAGAATGGATTGACATTATTTATACAATTATTACAATAATGCAGTAGTCTGCATAGCAGTAAATCATCTATTTTTTTTGTGAATAAAAATTCCAAATGGTAAGCAAGAGTAATATAAGAGGGGCCTGTAGCCGTGACTAATGAACAGAGAAAATGTTATTTTAGTGCCAGGAATGTCTGCACTGTTTATTCTGGACCCTATTTTGAAATTGGCATCTGCTGAAATTTGTGTGAAATCGGCCAAATTGCCAATTTCTGACCACTTTATTGGGTAGTTGAAATAAGGGGATGGGCGGTTTCTTGTACTCAGTTGACAGACTAGAAGTAAATAAGTTTATTCAGGTATACACAAATACAGCTACATAGATTATCATACATAGCAGTGTATGTATAGAGAACCTAGGATAACCCAGAAAAGTCAGACAAAGTGACTTATTTCCAGTACCTGGCTTAAGCTTGCCATACATGATTTTTGGTAAATTTTTTTTTTCTCGGTTGTTTGTTGGGCTATCTCATTGAAAGTTGGGCAATGTATGATGGAAAGATGCTTCTTAACGTACAACAAAAATAAAAAAAGACGGACGATAAATAAGGGAGTTCACTTCTCAGCCATTAGCCGCCTCTTTGCAGTATATTTTCGTATGGTTTTTATGGTTGTATTCTCATTTTTTGGACTCATTTGATAGAATGGAAGATATATTACAGAAATACGTAGACATGATTTTGATTGCTTTCATGACGAAAAGTACCTTGAAATTGAGCTCAAAGTAGCGGAAATGTTCGATTTTTGCCGATGTTCAATGAACTGTGTAAGTCAAGTTGGTTAATTTTATTAAGTGTATTCTAGCCTAACCACTCTGTAATTCGGCAAACTCAGTAATCCGGCACACTACAGGTCCCAGTGATGCCGAACTTGTGATGGAGGACCTGTATTATAACAAACTAAAGTCCATAGTGATAGAAATTGAGAACACACCAAAGAAATGAAAAACAATCGAAATTTAGCATCAATAAACTGTATAACATACGTATATACCACCAGGAACATTTACGTGGCTTTTCGTAACAAGTGATCATTTTTTCACCAATGTTAATACACCAGAAATTGCAAAATTGAAAGTTTTCTTATTTCATTTACGTTTTCATAGTCTACTTAGAAAAATATTCTCATTTCAACTTCGAGGCAAAGCTAGCTTTCTTTTTTCCTCAAAATCTGCCTTATGCACACAGGAATTTTAAATGATCATTATAGGTTTAGATAATCAACAGCATGAAACCATCCATGGGCAGGGATAGAACCTGTGGTCAGAGAGTCATAAACTCCAGACCGATGCGTTAGCCACTGAGCCAGCTGGGTACAAGATTTATGGTCACTGTGGTGCCTATGCTAACCTTCCTATGGTGTATGGATGAATCTTACTGTAGCCAACTGGCCCAGTGGCTAACGCGTCGGTCTGGAGTTTTTTGACTCTCTGACCATGGGTTCTATCCCCACCCTTGTTATGGTTTGTTTGCAATTGTGTCATTACAATTTTGTGAATCATCAATAGCATGATCAGTATAACCTTAGATCAACAGCATGATCAGTATAGGTTTATATCATCAACATGTATACGTTATTAAAAATACATGCATAAATAATATTACCTGAGCATATTAACTCATCATATAGTCTAAGAAACAAATTGAATATAAAACACTGCACAAAATTTAAAAACTAATACTCTAACTAATGTTAATAATTATATATTTTAGGAGATAGATTAAATATAAAACACTGCACAAAGTTAAAAAAAAAAACATTAAACTAATGTTACTGGAATGGAATACTGAAGATTACCTTCCTTAATACAACAAAACAAAATTTATCATTAAATTATAATAATTGGAATGTGTAACATTTGGTATATGTAGATCTATTATTGACTAGAACAAATGTGTTTTACTCTGCTTTTTATAGAGAACTCTCTTTATGGATTGTACAAAGTAGAAAAATAAACATTTTGGTTAAAAGAAGACAATGTTACACCTCATCAATGATGTTAGCATCCAGCAAGCATTCTTCCTCACTCACATCTTGTAATGGTTCCCTCCTCTGTCCACGCATGGTTTTTCTGAAAGAATAATATTTATAAATAAATGAATTCAGATATTTGGGAGTGGACGTGTCAACAGATGGGTCTATGAAAGATGAGGTGAATCATAGAATTGATGAGGGGAAATATACGAGTGGTGGACTAAAGAGTCTGTGGAGACAAAGAACATTATCCATGGAAGCAAAGAGGAAAATGTATGAGTATAGATATACCAACATTCTTATATGGGTATGAAGCATGGGTGGTGAATGTTGCAACAAGGAGAAGGCTGGAGGCAGTGGAGATGTCACATCTGAGGGCAATGTGTGGTGTGAATATAATACAGAGAATCCCTAGTTTGGAAATTAGGAGGTAGAGGGTTACCAAAAGTATTATCTAGAGGGCTGATGAGGGGTTATTGAGGTGGTTTAGACATGAAGAGAGGATGGAATGAAATAGAATGACTTGGAGGGCGTATAAATCTATAATGGAAAAAAGGCAGGGTAGGGGTCAGCCTAGGAAAGGTTGGAGGGACGGGGTAAAGGAGGTTTTGTGTGCTAGGGGCTTGGACATTCAACAAGTATGAATGAGCATGTTACATAGGAGCTAATGGTGACAAGCGGTTTTTAGGACTTGATGTGCTGTTGGAGTGTAAGCAAGGTAACATTTATGAAGGGATTCAGGGAAACCGGCAGGCCGGACTTGAGTCCTGGAGGTGGGCAGTACAGTGCCTGCACTCTGAAGGAGGGGTGCTGGCACAGAACTTCGGCTTGGACCCAGGCTTCAAAGCTGTAGAACTACGGGACAGACCCTCAAAGGGTTAATGCATCTCAGAGTAATTATTATTGTGTCTTATCATTATTAATATAGTGTCTTCAAGAATAATAAGATAATCTTAGTGATTTTAATGTGTACCTGCATGCCAGCAGTAAGTTTATTTAGGTACAGGCACACATAAGTGTAATTACCAGGGGAAGCGATACAGGATTCTTCCTCTGTAAGCCATGCATGTCATAAGAGGTGGCTAAAATGCCGGGAGCAAGAGGCTAATAACCGCTTCTCCTGTATATATTACTAAAGTTAAGAAGAGAAACTTGCGTTTTTCATTTTGGGCCACCCTGCTTCAGTGGGATATGGCCGGTTTGTTGAAAGAAGAAAAATGTAAAATATAAAATAACTTTGGAACACCTAAAATTCTGAAAAGTTTCCAGACATAATGGAGAGGTGCGGAGCTCAGAGAATGTAAACAAACTGGGTGGCACACGGTGACCGTATTAGAAAGTCAGGTGGGGGAAGCCATATAGCGGGTTTGATCATAATTTGAAATGTTCATATTAGTGGAATGCCCTAAGTTGAAATGCCGTAAAGCGGGGCCCTACTGTACAGTAAACCCATTACTTACCTTAAAATATTTTTGTCCTTGGCTTATAGTAAGTGGTGAATATATTTATATTTTCATCTTTAGCTTAGTGATTTAAGAATGTATTTAGTTTAGGAAATCTGAATAAATGAAGAATGGGTATAATTGAAAACTGCAGTACAGTGGTACCCAGAGTTTCAAACTGCTCCCAACTCGACCAATTAAGTAAGTGTATTATTGTAAGTGCTTTTGTAATTGTATTTTTGGGGGTCTGAAATGGACTAATCTAATTTATATAATTCCTTATGGGAATAAATTTGTTCAGTAACAGCACTCAAACAGCCTTATGGAACGAAGAAAGTTCGAAACTCAGGGTACCACTGTATTAGGGAAACACTGTTGTGAGGGAAAAGTTCAACAGATAGGAGTAGCGAGCGAGTATATGGGTGACGATAGTTTGATTGCCGGCTGCTTGTTAAGGAAGGGTCAGTCTAGCTCCCGCTATCCCCTCCCCCCTTTCTTCCACACGGAAAGGTGACGTGTGGGGCTTGGACCAAACAGTAATCACTTGACTCCCAGCTCCCAGCACAACTGTAAGTAAAAACCTCTGCTCCTATTCTAGTGGATATATTGGTTGAAAGCTTCACTTTTGACCAATAATAAATTTAGTCCTTTCAGTCTTGAGTTCCATGTTATGCTTTTAGATAATCACCATTTCTTTTAGGTATTGTACTTATCATGGAGAGTGATTTCTTAAGCAGTGGGTAACCTCTGTCTCTTTCTAGCTTGGAATGACAGCTTGGGCCATCTGCCAACCAAAGAAACGTGTTGAAGGAGACGGATTGAAAAAAAGTCCTGAGCCGTCACTTTTTGATCTACCTACCTGATTACTTGTGGTCAACCACAGGCAACTACCCCTCATCTTTGCAGTGGTAAAGAACCTGCATTCCTATCATCTGTACAGACTATTCAAGGCTATAGACTCTGTGAAGAACTAGTCGTTGGGTTGTCACTCAACACCTGTGACCCCCCCTCCCCCATCATCAGTAATGGCTACAATTTATGCAAGACGGTGTCAACCTCAACCAGACACCCCAGTATAACTGTACGTATTAGCGTTGAATTCAAATGTCATTTTTCCATTTCATTTTTCATTTTTCTTTAAAGTAGGATACACATTCATGTTTCAATGTTTTATCTTTGCATTACTAAATAATAGTGTTTATCTTTGTGAATTATTTCTTTTTCTTTCTTTCTTTCTTTCAACACACCGGCCGTATTCCACCAAGGCAGGGTGGCCCAAAAAAGAAAAATTAAAGTTTCTCTTAAATTTAGTAATTTATACGGGAGAAGGGGTCACTAGCTCCTTGCTCCCGGCATTTTAGTCACCTCTTACAACACGCATGGCTTACGGAGGAAGAATTCTGTTCCACTTCCCCATGGAGATAAGAGGAAATAAACAAGAACAAGAACTAGAAAGAAAATAGAAGAAAACCCAGAGGGGTATGTATACATATGCTTGTACATGTATGTGTAGTGTGACCTAAGTGCAAGTAGAAGTAACAAGACATACCTGAAATCTTGCATGTTTATGAGACAGACAAAAGACACCAGCAATCCTACCATCATGTAAAACAATTACAGGTTTTCGTTGTACACTCACTTGGCAGGACAGTAGCACCTCCCTGGGCGGTTGCTGTTTACCAACCTACTACCTAGGTTATTTCTTTTTCTATTCATTAATTTTCCTGAGGAGGAGCCAGCCTTGGTAATACTGTCTGAAGTTGTTACAGGGCTAAGTAAGCCTTCACAACTGTAAAGCAAAGTGTTGTAAAGCAGGGCCTGCCTGTATCGTAATGATTCATATAATGTATATATAATCTAAACCCCTGATCACAAAAATGTATAAATATGAAGAAAAATGTGAAACCAAACCTCACCTGTGCACATATCCATTGATGAGTGACTCAGCTGAAACAGGCCTATGTTTCTCTTTCTTAGTCAGGGCACAAGCCAAAATCCCAATCAGCCCCAGTAGTGCAACCAAGCAACCTTTAATGAGAAAAAAATTGCGATAATGCAATTATGTTTAGAATAAAAGCAGTTTCAATTTCTTTATTCAATCATAATGGCTGTTTGGGATTACAATTTGTAGTTGGAGGAGCAGAGCTATATTAAGTGTGTCCCATTTTCAGATTTTATTCATATTACTTTTGTATTTCCACTGTCTCTAGCACATACAGGTTATTTTACCAGCTTACCACACTGTGAATACAGTAGGGGCCCGCTTTTTGGCATTTCGCGTCATGGCGTTCTGCTAACACGGCAATCTCAAATTATGACCAAAATTTTCTATATGGCAAGTTTTCTTTTAAATATGGTGCACCAGCCAGTTTATTTACATTCTCCATGGGCACATCTCTATTATGTAACAATAGTCACTCTTGGGCATATTAAATGTCTAATTTTACATCAATATAGACATTTTCATTAATCCATCTATGATATTTTCTTCAAAATTATATAAGAAACACGTTACATAGCATATAAACATGCTGTTTATAAGCTATGGAGGTGTGGTTGCCGGGTGGAGGGAAAACATTACGCAATACTAATAATAATCACTCTTGGGCACACTGTCTCATTTTATGTTAATATAGACATTTTCATTACTCCATCTATTATATTTTCTTCAAAATTATATAAGAAACACATTACATAACATATAAACATTTTATGTTTATATACTATGGAGGTGTGGTAGCCGGGTGGAGGGAAAACATTACGTCACTCCCCTTAATACATAACGCTTTTGTTTACAATTATCAGCATAAATTATTCATTACTTCTCCCTTTGTTTATGATGGCATCTAAAGGTAGTTGTTAGTTAGAAATGATTAAACTCAGTGAACATGGTATGTCGATGGTAATAATATAGCTCTGGGCCACATTAAGTCAAGGTTCCACTGTACTTACATAATTGTTAAAAAATTATTTTTTTGTGAATATTTTTGTTTGAAACTGATTAATTGTATTCCCATTAATTCTTATGGGAAATATTAATTTGGTTTTTGGCCATTTCGGTTATCGGCCGACCTTCTAGAACAGATTACAGCCAATAACCGGGGGTCCACTGTAATAATAACACAATAATAATCACTCTAAGGAGCATTAAATATCATATAAAATGTTAATACAGTGGAACCTCTACTTGCGAGCGTGTCCACATGCGAGTTTTTCCAAATACGAGTAGTCGATGGGTCGATTTTTTGCTTCCATACGCGAGCAAAATTTCCACAAGCGAGCAGACCTCAAGGCAGGTTCCTTGACACTGGTGAGGGACTCTTGCTTTGGATCTCGGGAATTGTATCTCATTTGTTTGTTGGACTACCTTATTGAAACTTGGGCAAGGTATGATGGAAAGATGCTTCTTAACGTACACCAAAAATGAAAGAAATCTAAGCATAAATAATGGAGTTCACTTCTCAGCAATTAGCCACCCCTTAGCGGTAATTTCAAGTGGTTTTTATGGTTGTATTCTCGTTTTTTTGGTCTCATTTGATAGAATGGAAGATATATTACAAAAATAGATATGATTTTGATTGCTTTCATGACGAAAAGTGCCTTGAAATTGAGCTCAACCTAGGAGAAATGGTCCCTTGCTTGGATGTTTCAGAGTAAAAAAATGACGTCACTGTCCATTCCAATATGCAGTCGTGAATGGGTTGACATATTTATACAATTATTGCAATAAGGAATAACAGTAAATCTTATATTTTTCGTGTGAATAAAAATTACAAATAATTTATATAATAATAATAATAATAATAATAATAATAATAATAATAATAATAATAATAATAATAATAACAACACTAGTAATAATAATAATAATAATATTATTATAATATGAATAATAACATGTATAATAATAATAACATATGTATAATAATAATACATATATAATAATAATGTACTACATATAATAATTATAATAATAGATGGCTTCAAAAGGCCATCACTAGATAGCAGTGTTTACCACAACAAAGAGGGAGAGGTTGTGGCCGCCTCCACCTGTTACAAAATGACATATTTTATTCATTCTAGAGTATATATCGTGTTTCTATGTTATTTATATTGTCTGTTATGTCATATTAGATGAACTGTGATATATAAATAAGCCATATAGATCAAACCATACCCCGGCCGGGATTGAACCCGCGGTCAGAGAGTCTCAAAACTCCAGACCGTTTGCAATCGTGTCATTACGAATTTGTGAGTCAAGCCATATAGATAATATTAGCAAAATTATTCATGAAGTATTTTGCCCGGTCTCCACACAAACTCTCGTCCACCGCCGACACCGCCCATACCACTACATGAATGACATATTTTATTCTTTCTAGAGTATATACAGTAGTCCCTCGCTTTTCGTAGTTCTCAGCAATCGTAAATTTCGCCAATCATAGGGGTATTTTTGTATAAACATGGACTCGCTTTTCAAAGGTTGACTCGCGAATCGTAGTTCGTCCGGGACGCATATGCACGGTATGAGCCGGGGCGGCCTCCCTACCCAGCCAGTCTGGCATTGTTTACTAGTGAGTGAAGGTCCCCTCAAGTGCTCCTACGAAATATTTCATAATATTCCACTCATTTCAGTGCTTGCAAGTACTAAATAAGCTACCATGGCTCCAAAGAAAGCTCCTAGTGCCAAGCCTGTGGTAAAGAAGGTGAGAAATATGTACAGTGAAAAAGTCTTGGGCCATTTTAGGGAAGTGTTAAAGAGACGCCAGAAACAGAGCTCTCTCCACAGTTACTTTGCGAGACAGGACTAGAGTGACTCTCAAGGTGGTCCAAGTGACATTAAGAAACAGAGAAGAGAAGCAACCCCAGAGAAGCAATTGGTACCTGAGGTGTTGCTGGAAGGGGATTCCTCTTCCAAACTGTAAACAATCCAATCTCTCTCCTCCTCCAGTCTCCCATACACTAAGAAGAATCTCCAATAAAGGTAAGTGTTATGCTGTTAATGTTTCATTCATCATTTCCCATTGTGTTGTTTATGTACTACATGTATATTTCATGTAAAAAAATTTTTTGTTTTAATACTTCTGGGTGTCAGGAACGGATTAATTGTATTTACATTATTTCTTATGGGGAAAATTGATTCGCAAATCGTAAATTTCGTTTATAGTAACTGCTCTAGGAACGGATTAATTACAAAAAACGAGGGACCACTGTATCTTGTTTCTATGTTATTTATACTGTCTGTTATGTCATATTAGATGAACTGTGATATATAAATAAGCCGTATAGATGATATTAGCGAAATTATTCATGAAGTATTTTGCCTGGTGTCCAGACAAACTCTCGTCCACCGCCGACACCACCCATACCACGACATAAATGACATTTTATTCATTTTAGAGTATATATCAGGTTTCTATGTTATTTATATTGTTTATTATGTCATATTAGATGAAGTGAGATAGATAAATAAGCCGCCAAGTTGATATTAGTGAAATTATTAAAGTACAGAATTCCACTGGAAGGGATTAATTGCATTTCAATTAATTTAAATGAGGAAAATTGACTCAGCAAACGAGCAAATCCAGTTGCGAGCAAGGTCATGGAATGGGTTAAACTCGCAAGTAGAGGTTCCACTGTATAGACATTTTGCTTAATCCATCTAAATACATCCCGCAGTAGAATAAATTAACATAAATATGAGATGTGGTAGCCAGGTGACTTGTAGGACTTGTGGTAGCCAGGCAACTTGTAGTCCAACACCAGAGAATGTGTCACTACAATATTACTGTGGGTAACTAAAAAATTATTCCTTTCGTATGCCTTCACTCAGGGTGTCGCTTCTTCTAAAAATGGTGTTACATGAGAATGGGAGTGTTTCTCTTTATTTATTCTACTGTATCAACATGGAGACAATTTGTACACAATGTAAGGTGACGAAAACCAGACGCGTTCATCTGGTTTATTTACATTATGTGTGGGTGGGGTGGTGAGGGCTGCCCTTCCTGGCTACCCATACTTCCCAAACTGACTTCATACAAATAAAACTTACCTCTCACCCTACATTAACCCTTTGAGGGTCGACAGGCCCTCTCCGAAACTCGTTCTCAGGGTCAGCCAAATTTAAAAAAAAAAATAATTTTCTCTTATGAAAAGAGAGAGAATCTTTTCCGGATCATAAGGACACCAAAAGTTTGAAATTTGATGGAAAACTTACGGAATTATGCTCTCGCGAAGTTTGTGGTCTCGGAGATGTTTATGCATCGGCGATTTTGCCCACTTTGAGCCCCATTTTCGGCCAATTCCACTGTACTAGTCGGCAAAAAAACATGAATATTTCGCTAAAACTCCAGTTTTTCTATCAAATGGGTGCAAGAAACCACCCATTTATTAAATTCAACTATCCAGTACAGTGGTCAGAATTTAACAATTTTGCCAATTTCACACAAATTTCAAAAGATGCCAATTTCCGAATAGGGTCCAGAATAAACAAGAAAGACATTCCTGGCACTAAAATGACATTTCCTCTGGTCATTAGTCACGTCTCAAGGCCCCTCGTATATTCTTTTGCTTTCCACTTTGAATTTTTATTCTCACAAAAAATATAAGATTTACTGTTATGTGGACTACTGCATTAGTGTAAGAAATGGTATAAATATTATTGGCGCACTTGTGAAAGAATATTAGATGCACCAGTTGACGTGTATTGGACGCTTGGCACGATTTGTTTACTTTTGAAATTTGGTAAAAATCGAACATTTCTGCTACTTTGAGCTCAATTTCAAGGTACCTTTCATTGTAAAACCAGTCAAAATCATCTCAATTTCTGTAAGATGTCTTCCATTCTATAAAATGAGACCAAGAAAACTAGAATACAACAATAAATACCATACGAAAATGCAGTGCAAAGTCGCTGTTTTATTCCAAAAAAAAAAGGTCAAAGTTTTTTTTTTCTCATTATGCACTGTGTGCTGCAGGATTTTTTTTAGACTGTGCCTGGTCACAGACCGGGCCGCGGGGGCGTTGAC